GACGTGAACACTTACGTTTAGCAATTTTGTGCACTTTATGACCACATTGACCCCTCCCCCACACCCCACCCAAGGTGAAATAAGCGCTTTAGGTTAATCAAAGCACCAGTGGAAAAATGAAAGCATCTTACTAGAAGAAATGATTTCCCTCCTGAAGCTGAGCTTTTAAAAAATGTCTCTCCAGCTCCAACTTGTACTTGACTATGAAAGCCCATTTCTGCCACCCCGATAAAAAAAAAAACTTGTATCTCATAATTATGAAATAGTATCTCATGATAATGAGATAGCTAAGTCAAAATTATGAGATACAAGTTTTATTTTTTTTATCAGGGTGGCAGAAATGGGCTTCCATACTTGACAGACGACTACTTGCAATTTTTTTTTTTTCATGAAAAATAACTTTGTGTTAAAACCTGACAAATGGAGACCAAGTTGTCTTTCCAACGATTACAAAGCAATTTTTACAAGTTGGTTAATATCTGGTTCTGTTATAAACAAATAATATCTAGCCTGTTGTAGATAGCTTTTTGATGGACCTCATGAATGAATGATTTTCACTGGACAGGCTTCTTTATAATATATATAAGAACATCTACAGCTAAAAACCATATACAGTATTCACAATGGCCACCACAGCTAATAAACATTTGTCAACACAAAATGGCAATACCTTTCAATTTTATAGATAAATGTACAAATTCTCAACACATAAAGATAAGATCACATGCGTGAGACTGTGCATAGCATTATTTTAAAGCTTTGCGCAATATGGTTATTTATCAACATAAGAAGATTTTATCCAAAAACTTTCATACCAAAGTTGATTTGTATTTCTTCAAGGAATGCTGGACTTTAACTTACGCAGTTTTAAAGTGGTTTATAATCACAAAAATCTGCAGGAAAAGCAGACTAAAGCCAGTCCAGCGCAGTCATGAAGCAAGACTATAACAATATTTCCATCAGAATACTTGTTTAATGTGAAATTGGTGGGAGTAGTTTAAAAGTTTATAAAACAGCATTTATATAAATCAATATGACACGTATAAGTTTTAAATTGTTTCAAGATGAGAGCATTCCACTTTGGTTTTGGTAATGTTTGGACTCACTGCCCGTTCATCGATTCGCTCAGGAAAAAACTCCAAACAGATTTAAAGCGTCACCAACAAGAGGTAAGATTATTGGATCATAAATTTTCCTGCAGGACCCCACCTCAAAAAATCTGAACTTTCCCTTTAAAAGCCCTGTCACACTACAACACTTTTAGACAACTTGTGAACATTTTGTCCAACATTAAAGATGTCGGTGTTGAAAATCAAGTACCATGATGCTAACAATTAGATTGTATATATAACCTATGAGTAATTTATTCAAAACTTAATTCTCTTAAGTCGACATAAGTTATGTAAACATTATAGTGTGAGAGGGTCTCAAGAACTGGTTTTAAGTTTTGGGCAGAATTAGACTTGGATATTTTAGCCCTTTTTGTGATGGTTAACAATAGGGAATGTGAAGCATCAAATGAGACATCCCAAGGAGAAATAAAACAATAATAGTTTGTGTGTGTGTGTGTTTGTGTGTGTGTGTTTATGGTACAAGTGTTGGCAAACCATTTGACCGCCATTTGGAAATGTCACTAAGTAATCATAAACAATTATCCTCCCCAGCTTTCTGAGCATCAGAATAGGTCAAATTTACATAAAGAGACACAAAGGCTGCAGCAGGAACATTCAGCACACTCAGGTCCAAAACTAAATTATGTTTGTCCTATGTCTGCTTTTAGTTTCCAGTACTATTCCTGGTGATGCAAATCCTTTTTATTTAACTGTTTGTTCAGATAATAATGTTTTTCTGGCCCCCACTGCCTGCATGCACACAGCAGGTTCGACATAAAACCAGCTGCAGACCTATTCTGACCAGGCTTTCCACCCAGCAGTAAATCAGAGATGGGAGCAGGGAGTGGGTAATGACGCTGGGGCAGACGCCACACAGGATGGAGTCACTGAGGGAGAGAAAGAGGAAAGAAAAGATGGAGAAAAGGGCTGGGAGGAAAGGGGGCGGGTGGAGTTCAGAAGGGTAATGGGGCAGCTGCTTGGTTGGTGGCGATGATCATCAGCTGACAGATAAATGAGGTTCTGCTGCTGAAGACATAAATAGTGAAGCTTTTCAAAGAAAGGCCACAGAACTGAAAAACCCCCTGCTAAAATGTGAGTTCACTGTAAAAATGTTGATTTTGACATTATGTGTCTGAAAGAATGTTTCTTTGCTCTACATCATGTTTAATAATGTTGGTAATCACCACCAGTAACCAGTGTGTGTCACAGTTTATTGCTTTCAAACCAAGAAGCGTTTTTAAAGGTTTGTCTATTCTACAGCTGTCCAAGTTTGAAGCTTTTTTATTTCTGAATGAGTCACAGGTCAGAGACACAGTAAGTGGCTAATGAAACACTTCTGGAAGTGATCAGGTATTGAATGGAAAATGTGGGAAAAAAACGAGCCGTGGGTGCAAAAATTTAACAAAATGTGACTGATTGCAAAAAATCTTTTTGTATTTATGGAAAAAAGGTGCATGCAAATAAGGCTGTTCCATTTAGGCTACTACATCATAAATTATTTACATTTATTTAAAATCTAAACTAATCTCTCATCAGCTTGGATCAGCTGATTGGCCTATTTGTTTGAATATTCACAAATTTTTTTCACTTCTCATGTTCCACGACCCCTCCAGACTTTATGTAATCGGTTGATAATAAACTGCCATAAAAGACAATTCTCTTGTTTAGATCTATCATTTTTTTTAAAAATCTATCACACAAATAAAGTCCAAGAAAAAGATTAGAAAGACTGCCAGAGATCACAAAGAACTATTGATCATAACCACTTTAAGAGATGACAAGAAAGTCCTTCTGCTTGGACGTGATAAAAATATATACACGACTCAAGACTTTTGCACAGTACTGTGTCATCTATTTTCACTAGATGGCAGTAAAGTCAAGAGTTGGAGCCAATCAAACACCAACAGGCTGATGAATAAATCTGTCATGGACGGGTGACAATTATTTTCAGATCACTGTGGCAGAAAGGAAAAGGTTGAATTGTCTGAAATCTGCCTAAATGAAGATCACTTTTAATTCTCTGGAAAGAAAAACCCAAACGACTTCTTGCAAAATTAAAATTGTGGAGGAAACAGTTCCCTTTGTAGTGACTTCCTTAATCAAGTTCAAATGTTGGGTTTGAACGAACAGAAGGGAAAACAATTTTTCCCCGAAGGTTTTTATTTTTTTCTTCCCCACACCCTGACACCATGGCTGTGTGATAATGCAGCAGATGGCGTTATGTTCTCCTCCTATTACTCTGAAAACATGACTGTAATGGAAGTCGAGGTGCCACATGTGAGCACCAGAAATGATGAAGGCCAACTGTTGTGTTCCATAAGGCTTTTGCTTCGATGCGTCGCTCTGGTGGGACTCAGGCAGATGTTGTCATCTATATTCACACATCCGTTTCATTCCTCACACTAAATAGTTGAAGAAGTTTCCCTTCACATCTTTGTGTTTGTGTGTCTGTAGAAGCAGCAGTCAGTAAAATGTATTTTTACGTCTCATAATTGTGAATCCATTATAAGGAACTTATTTGCCAATTTATACTGTAAAGTGCTGGTGTCCGATCCTGGTCCTCATGGGTCACTATCCTGTATGGTTTAGTTGTTTTCCTGCTCTTCAGCAGGTCTTCAAGCTCTGCAGAAGCACACAGATGTCAAAGCAGAGAAACACCCTGCTGTATATGATTAAGTTTAGACACTAAATATAAGTAATTTTAATCTTTTACTTAAGTTTGCTTAATTTTTACAACATTTACGTTTTTTAATGAAGAAAGTTCAGATTTTGTGGGGTTTTATGAACTATTACGTCATTTTTGCAACTTAATTGCCAAATAAGGTCTGTTGCTGTAATGTGTTATACAAATAAACTTGATTGACTGACTGATTGGACTTACCAGCTACAATTTGGTCGTCTTCATTCTCCTCTGGTTCTGGGTCAGCCTCTGGCTCCAACATGTAAGTCTGGATGGACAAGTCTTCCCTTGTTGACATCTTTTAATTCATTTGTAAATAAAATATTTCTGTGCTACATAGTCGTAAACTCTCCATCCAACTGGAATAGATCAGTCTGGGAGCTGGAGGTGGGGCGGGGTGTGAAGGGTCTTGTTTAGATTTAAAGAGACAGCCTCAAAACGAGTCAAACTAAGACACGTCTCAGAAAAAGGGTGAAAGAGAAAATGTGGAGTGACAATAAGGAGGAATTCAGACCAAAGCATTGCAGTTCTGCTTCATATGGAACCCAACTGAATGATTTAAAGGTGAAAATGAAGGATTTAAAAATATGTCACCTTTAAAATAAAGCTCCATCATATTCCAAAGATGTAACATGGCAGCTTCAGTGAACCAAGTCCTGCAGGCTTTACCTTCCAACAATAAAAAAGTCCTGAACACTTGGACACTAATAGTCTATATTAAGAAGACAGTAATCCAGTTTAGTTTTAACCACACTTGGACTACCCCTAGGCTCATTTAAAGAGCTACAATAGCTAAGATATTTATAGTTCATAACCTTTACACAGAACCCCACCAAAAGATCTGGACTTTCACATTTAAGACTATCATGGTCCCTTAAGCTTTTGGTTCATGACCCTTTACTGATGAAAACTATAGGTGGAACGATTCATCTCATGTTATCACGTCGTTCATCTCGTTACGCAGTTATACTGCCGCTGATGTTAATGTTTTGGTGCAAAGATATATTTCATTGGATAATTATTTCCCCTTGCTTCAGTGAAATAAGCGTCTACAGCCGAGCACACCGAAGAAGCAACTCATTTCTTTTATGGGCTATCATTGTCAGAGAGTGACTCGTTAATGGCTACAGCATGTAGCGCTAACTGTGCAGCGGATGTAATGTTTTCCACTTTATTCAAGAATGGACATTATGAGTTAAGAGTCGGAAAACTTTAAGCACATTATCATTTATTTAGCTGTTATAGTCCCTGCAGCCCAAAAGTCATACTTGCACTAAAAGAAATAAAACTTATATCAGAGAGAAGAAAAAAATATTAGTACAAATTGGTTTCTTAAATACAAAACTATTTGCAAAACTGTCAAGGAAAGCAGCATTAAAATGGTAATGAGTAAAACCAGTACAAATGTAGAAGACAAGTCTGCGCGTCATGGTGTTGATGAAAGATACCTAAGTTATAATATTTAGAAAAACACAATAATTTATGTATAAAAAATTCAGCCCAGTTAGTTGAATTACAATGTACAATTTGCGTGGCAAGAAAACAAGAAAACATTTACTTTTATGTATGGATTTTCTACAAGTTGTCTACATTTATTACAGCCCTATGAACAAATGAAACCAACTCATGCACAACATTGCCACTTATTGACTGCTATATACGCTGCTTGTCCCTGTACAATCAATCAAAGTATTTACAAATTCAACAAATACTCTACAGGTCTTTAAAAAAATAAAATAAAACTTGATGCAAGTTAAGAAAAAATAAAATCTTCATCCCATTCAAAGGCCCTCGGGGTTAGTTGGTACATATGAACACATTTTGCCTAATAGAAAATGAATAATATCAGGCGTGCACACACACACACACACACACACACACACACACACACACACACACACACNCACACACACACACACACACACACACACACACACACACGCAGGTCCTCATTCAATAAAACACTACAGATATACCATCATCCCTTTTTTATGTATTGTAAGAAGCTTAAAACAATGTTTTGAGCTCATTCATTATGAGCATGATAGTTCATGGAGGAATTAAATTTTCCAATCAAAACGTCCCCAGGTTGATCTTCTTATTTGTGACATCTGCAGTCACATTGTTTTCTCCTTCCCGGTAGGTGAACTCGAAGAAAAGCATCTTCAGAATTGAATAATTGCGTGAAAAGGCACAAATTGCTGAAGCAGCACTACGGGAAGCTCCTGCGCTCTCAGCACTCCCTTTTGGCCTTCAAACTGAGCTCAAAAAGCAGAGGTCACGTGTGGAAAAAATACACATTTATACACAGTGCATACACAGCGCTATTAACAGTTTCCAAGCATCTCTGTAAAGAAGAGAAGGCATAGATATCTTTTAGCAGTCTATTTAGGTTTCTTGGGTCGTGTGCGAATGCGGAAGAGAATGTATGATGGAGAAGCCATGCAGCGCAGGGACAAGGGAGATGTTTTTGGGGACTGAAGGGGGATGCAGGCTGTCTGCGCAGCACACCATCCTGCTCTGCTAGCACCAATTAGCTACACAAAGGAGTTCAAGGAGTTCATGGCATTTATCGGAGACGGGGCCTCCGAGCTCTCAGGGCCCTCGGCGTTGTCTCTGCAGGAGCTCTTTCCACTATACTGGCCAATAAAGGAGCCGTCTTCGTTGAACTGTCCGTCTCCTCCTTCCCCGTAGTCAACTAAACTGTCGTCACTGTCGTCTCTCTTAACTGTGCCGTCGGATGGTGTGCGGCTCCCCTTTAACGGTTTATGGTCCTCATTGTCACTGAGGGAGAAAATCACATGCAGATGTTACAGGTGAGATGGAGTGACAGATGCAACAGGTAGATTAGTGACCACTTGTTTTTAGATGGAGCATGCAGCCGCCAATTAATACTTTTACCCACGAGCATGGAAAACAATGCTCTGTGCTGCATTTCAGTTTGACTTGCTCCATGTCTAAAAACCACAACTCCAAGACAGTTGGAGAGTGTTGCGTACAATGGAAATTTAAACAGAATGCAATCATTTGCAAATCTCATGAACCCATATTTCAATCGCAATGAAACCTCCATCCAACTAGCTATCTGTTTATACATCCATTCATCTTCTTTAGCTGCTTTTCCTTTCTGGGTCATGGTGGTGCTGGTCCAGCAGTCACAGTGTAAGGGAGACAATAGTTACCAGTTAACCTAACATCAATGTTTTTTGGTCTGTGAGAGGAAACCTGGGTACCCGAAAATATCAACTATGCACACACATGGAGAATATGCCAACTCCATACAGAAAGGCCTGGAGGCAAACCTCCATCCTCCTCCCTCTGAAGTGACAGAGCTAATCACTGCGCTGCCATGCCACCCCATAGTTAACATAACAAATATTAATACTAAGAAACTGTAAAATTAAAAACAAAAAAAAAGTTCAATTTTGAATTCGATAGCAGCAGCATATTTTAAAAGAGTTGAGAAGGAGCCATGTTTCCCTCTGTCAAGTCTCTCCTCTTCTTCTGTAAATGTTTAGGAACTGAGGAGAGCAACTGTTGGAGGTTTTGAAGAGGAAAACGTCCCATTCTTGTCTGGTGTAAGATTTTAGTTGTTCATAAGCCCTGGGTCTTTTTTCTTTCTTTCTTTCTTTCTTTTAACTGGAGCACGTTGTTCCAAACCAGGTGAACCTCTGCCTCCTTTATATCTGAGAGATGTAGCTTCTCTAAAACTTTCTTTTTATAACCAGTCCTCTTCTTGACCTGCTCCCAATTAACCTAATTTATAGCAAAATGCTTCTTTGGCTATTTCTTATTTGAACCACATACTTTTATAGATCTTTGTTTCTCCTAACCACACTTTTTTTTAAATTTAAGCAGCCATAGAGTTCAAAATTACATGATTTTGTAAAAAAAAAAAATACATTTTCTGAGTTTTAAAATTTTGATGTTTACTGTGTTTTAATTAGACAAAAATAAAGGTTTGTGAATTTTATAAACCACTGCATTCTGTTTTTATTTACATTTTACACAATGTCCCAACTGTTTCAGAATTGCGGTTATAAAAAAACAACATAATGATTACTTGGTTTCTATCAGGCAATAGGGGAATGAAGCTCAAGCAATCATTTTTTTGTTCAAATTCCCCTTGAAACCAAATATGAAGGCATATGTGTGTGTGAGACCAAAGCACTGCCCCCGCCCCCCCCTCCCAACAAAGAAGTTGCGATGAAGAAACAGAAGATCCGGTGCAATGAAGTGAATAAAACTTGGAAAGCAAGTTTTCAGCCAGACACCCCGCCCACAAAAGCAAGCATGACGGTAATCACAAAGTTGCACGAAGAGTTTGCAAAGAAAGTTTTCTTTGGCTCTCGGGTAACCAAAAACATTCCATGGATTAAACGTCAATGATGTGTGATCGCAAAGCCGTCATAATGTTGGGAAATTCTTTTAATCAAACAAGGGAAACAAATTGCTAAAATAACTTTCCAAGAAGAAAAGTGGCGCAGTGAAGCCACAGATAATGGAAAATGAGTTTAACAAGCGCTGAACATGATGACGGCTTCATGAGCAGATATTAAACTGGATGAGACTGCTTTTCTCCACAGTGACTTCAGTATCTACAGACCACCACCCTGCCCACCCACCCCTTACCTTTCCTTACACCTACACCCTCCAGACCAGATGTGGACATCTCACTGAAATCCCACACAAAAAAATCACTCCTATACAATATTCTACATCTGTTTGTGCATACGTGGGAAGATTTCTTGTCTGTAGATTAGTAACATATAAAGAACAGATCAGGTGGGTTAAGTTATGCCTTTATTTGACACATGGTTAGGTTCCTGATTTAACAAAACAAAAAACAGCATGGAAAAGAAAATCTCTCACAAAGGCACTATGTAGTTTGTAGACTTTGCCTTGTGATTTATTTTATCTGTTTTGAGCTAGTGACCACTGGTTTGAACCATTGTTTGTGAAAAAAAAACCCAGAAATTGGTGCTATTCTACATTATTTCTTCTTTTTTATCACATAAAAGATCCAAAACAAGAATATGCAGGTGCCAGTAAGTTCATATTGCAAAATAAGTTTAGTAGACAAGGCAAAATTGCTGTTCCAAAATCTGATAAAATACATTATAATGTTTTTCTTAAGTGTAATTTGCAACTTTATCCTAATAAACTTTGTCTATGCTAGTAAATTGATCTTACAGATTAATTAGTTTAGTAACTGGAGTTTAGCGTACTTTAATTTAGACTGGATTGATGAGCTACCAGTCTGAGCCAAGACCAAAGTAGACTGCTGTTGCAACCCATTCTCACACCCGAGTCGTCACATATTTTGCTTATTTATCATTATTTCATTATTTTGCTTTTCCAAAATTCCCTCTGCATCAGTTTTTAGCGCGTCGGGTACTCCCCTTGCGTCATTTTTTGACGAGATGGGTCGGAATCTGTTGTCATAACTTCTGAAAGTGTAGAAAATGCACAAAAACTACCATCCCAAAGCCTAAAATTACCTTTATTCACTTTAGACATCCTGTCCCTGACCCTAGTACCTAAAATTAACCATTAACCCTGATACCTAAAATTAACCATTTTTAGAAAATGTAGGGAATTCACGTCAACTACGTGTTCCAAAGCCCAAAATTACCTAATATTCCCTGTAGACATCCTATCCCTGACCACAGTACCTAAACTTAACCATTTATTCTGATCCCTCATATTAACCTCAGACCTCTGACCCAAAGACCCTTGGTGGCGCATCTGGAAAAGCCGCAGGAGGCAAGGACTGATGCGAGGGGGTCACCTGACGCGTCAAAATAAGATGCAGAGGGAACTTTGGAAAAGCGTCAATATGTTGACGAGTCGGGAGTGAGAATATGTTGGCTGCTGCCATATATCAACTCCAACCTAGGGCTGAGCAATAAATCAATAATGATATAAACAGTACGATAGACTCGTGATCAATATCAATAGAAAAAAACATACAAAGAATGTTGATAATTTCATTTAAATCCAGAACTGAATGGCATTCTGGAGGATCTAGGCCAGGGGTGCCCAAACATTTTCCCAGAGAGGGTCAAAATAAAAATCTATCCAGGGCTGCGGGCCAAATGCAGTAAGATAATACATGACATACATATACTTTTTAAAGTAATGTCCGTTATTTTTAACGATAAAGCTATGGCCCTCTTTTGTTTTTTGTGGGACATTTCATAAATTGATAAAATATGAGTTTCTGTGACCTTATAAAGTGTGCAAATCTACATGTGGGGTTAAATCTGATTTAAATATTTCTTGTTGTCATTTCATGTTTCAAGTTTAATCCTAATAAATCAAAGATAAAGTCAGCACCATGAATGAAAACTACCTTCACTACAGCCCTTTTATATAGTCATTTGATCAATGGAAATACTGTGTTTCTACACAGGATAACAGGTTACAACCTTGTAACTTTGGCAACTGTTAGTGGGACAAGTCAAATGGCTTGGTGGGCCTAATTTGGCCCACGGGCCCCATTTTGGGCTCCTCTGATCTAGGCAGAGGAATAGCTTTAGCCACTTGACCTCTCACAGCCCAGCTAAGCAGGCTGGTGGTAGGACTGGGCAGAATGAAGGTATTCTAATAATGGTATAGCAAAATACCTTCATACTGCAGTTCATTGGAATTCCACACACTGCCATCAATTTCACATTGCACAGTTATTCTGGCAGAAAATATCTAATCTTTCTGCTGGGGGTGTTCCAACCAGAATCAGAAGTGCTACAGCTTGCTGCTGCTGCTGTTTGTGCATCATCATAATAATAACAACACAAAAATTTGGAAATAGCTTGGTAATAAATTATGATTATGTAAAATTTATGAAATTACTTTCTCGTTAGCTCATCAGTCTAGTCAGAATTAAACTACTCCAAACTGAGGTCATGCAAAGAGTCATTTACAACAGGTAAAATATTAGTTCTTCATAACCTTTACACACAATCTTGCTTCAGAAAGAACAGCCACCAATAAATAGACTCCATATAATTTGAAAATCTGCTTCTAAATCCTATCATGCTCATCTGTTTTAAAAAGATATTTAGCTTTTGCAAAGTAGAAGTTCATCTTTGTGACTGAGTTAGAAAGACTAAGAACTTAATTTTGAATGTAAACTACACATAATGTTATAGAGCACTGCTAATTTTGATCTTTTATCCAGAATTTTTGTTAAAAATGTAGACAACACTCCTAAAGAATGGTAGAAACAGCAGTAACCAGCTCAGGTAGTCACGATTTAATTTCCCTCAAACATGCTTTTAATGTCATATTACATCCATATGCATCTCTATAATCTATTTCTATTTATGCACAATATTTCCATTCAGCACAATATTGCCTAAAGCAAAACTTCTGTTGTAAATCCGTGCATTATATTTGTTCCTGACCATATATATATA